AATTTAAAGCTGTTGGAATTCATTGTAAAGCTGCCCATGCACTTACTTAATCTAAAGATTTCTAGTCATTGAAGAATTTAAATAAGAAGTTAATTTTGAAATTTGTTGGTAAATCTCGAAGTTTTCCACTAGGGTGGCATGCAGATACACTCATTTGTGTCTCCATATCCATCTTCTTTAAAATTTCTTTTAGTTCCCGTTTTATGAAGACTTCATGTATTTATATGGATCATTTTTATGTTTGTAATTTTCCTCTCTACTTATCATATGATTTCTAATCACGTTTCAAGCTTATATTGGTTAATAACGGCTTGTATATTTATATTGCTTGTACTATTCAACTTTACCTGTAATTTTAATACTGTTTTCCTTTTTGTTCTTTATTAGTCGATTGAATTCAAAGACATAGTTAAAATTGGGCGTACACACACTCAAGATGCTACACCTTTGACACTTGGACAGGAGTTTAGTGGGTATACAACACAAGTAAGATCTTTCTGCCTCTTGTCGTGTAATAATGGTTGTGATTAATGTGGTAAATGGAATGACCTCCCATGACACTTACCTTCATCATAGGAACTCCATTTTGTCTATTAAATGATACTGACTTTTGCCTGTCTGCTCGTTCAAGTAGTTTTTATTCTGCGTGTAGATTCTCAATTATAGTCTTCGGATAGCTAAAATTTCATGTTAAGATGGACATCTTGCCACCATAATTAGTTTAAGGCTATCTCTTCGGTATGATATGAAGTCATGTTTCTTCAACTTAAGAAAGTGTAGAGGGATCCTTGTTTAGGTGACAAGTTTCATTGGAGTTCCTTGTACTTATGTTTTATTGTTATTTTTTTCAAATTCTTAAGTGTTACTAATCAGCTATGGAGTACTCATCCTAGCTGCATTCCTAATTTTAGGTGAAGTATGGGATTGATCGAGTCTTGTGCACTCTTCCTCGTCTGTATCAGGTTGCGTCAAACTTCTATATTTCCCCTTCCTCCTCCCTACCTCCCTCTCTTTGTCTTTGACTGGGAACAGGAACGTCTTTTGAACAGCTTGCACAGGGAGGCACTGCTGTAGGAACTGGTTTGAACACGAAGAAAGGGTATGCCTTACAGCGTGTGGTGAAACATGTCATTTAATTTCCAGGCACCTGTAAACTTAATGGAGCTTTATGAAGTGTGGATAAAGTGAATCTACAAATCCATGACTGTTGTTCAGGTTTGATGTGAAAATTGCTGCTGCTGTGGCAGAGGAGACAAAGTTACCATTTGTAACAGCTGAAAACAAGTTTGAAGCACTTGTAAACTCTTGATTCCCATGGTGCATTATGTATTTGCCTTTTGGCTCTGATAGCATTAGGTTCTTTTAGTTATTTATTTTTATATACGTCACTGGGGTGTTTGGTAACCGCCTTAATTAAGTGCTTTTTCTATTAAGTTTGTTTGATAATTGGATTTGCTTATATCTGAATACATTAAGGCCCATTTGATTTGTATAGAAAATTGTAAGTGAAAGTTGTATCACTTAATTTGCCGAATTGTTGAACTAGTACAGTAATATTTACTCAAAAGAATTATTCAACACTTTTATATTTTTACACATAGACGTACTTTCTCACAGGCACACTTCCACACACACACATTCTCCCTCTTGCTCTGTCTCTCTCTTTCTCTCTCACACACACTCAAAAACACACATTTTATTCTATGACATACTGAGACATAATCTCTCTGTTAAAGACACAGCATACATTTTTCTTTTCTCAGACACATTTTCACACATAAACAAACAGAAATACACTTTCCGTATTAGTATATGCTTTATTAATGTTAAAAAGTAGTATTTTAACATAGTATCACTATTAACCTATATAATATGTATAGAATGAAATATTTCATTTCAGTACTTGCATTCATCTGATTACCAAACAGATTTGACTTCATGGATTCATCGAATTAGGACTACAGCTACAGCAATTAAGTTTTAGTCTTCAGATTTCAGAGTTTAGTTTTAGTTTTATCAAACGCCCTCTAAAATCTTTTAGCCGCTTGGTCTTTTACTTGCAGGCTGCTCATGATGCATTTGTTGAAACTAGTGGAGCCCTAAATACAGTTGCTACTTCTCTTATGAAGATTGGAAATGATATTCGTTTCTTGGGAAGGTAATGTTTCTTTAAAGATTATCTTACTGTATACGTTACAGTTTTCTTGCTAAGTGCACAGTAAACTATATTTTCCTGTTACAGTGGTCCACGGTGTGGTCTGGGCGAACTTATTCTTCCTGAAAATGAACCTGGCAGCAGTATTATGCCGGTAATGTCTTTGCGCCTTGCATATATTTGAGGTGACACATGCGGATCAGTGCATGGTATGGCAAGCAATTTCTGTCCACTGATTTCTCCTGATTTTTATTCTGAACCTACTTTGTTTCAGGGGAAAGTGAACCCCACTCAGTGTGAAGCGCTCACCATGGTCTGTGCTCAGGTATATACTTGTTCCTTTTCAGGTTGGAATGGAGAACTCGAGCATATCATTTACTTTTATTTTCCAGATTGTGTTTCTTCTAGATACCTTTGCTTGTGTACTACTTCTCCATATTTGAGGAGCTGTTATTGTTATATAATTGAGAAACAACCGAAGGTGTTTACTTTAGAATACAGCTGAAAAAGCAAGGAAAATATTTGCTCATAAAAGCAGTCGATCGAACATCCCAATATGGTTTGATCCTTTAGATTCTTCTCATCTCTAATTACTTGCAGGTTATGGGAAACCATGTTGCCATCACAGTCGGTGGATCAAATGGCCATTTTGAGCTGAATGTATTCAAGCCTCTGATTGCCAGTTGTCTTCTGCATGTATGTTTTCATCTCTTGCTATTTGACAATATTGCTTAATTATAACTGTGAAGTAGCAAAACATAAAAACTTTAGGCTTTCTCATGAGTAGAAAGTCTTCCCACAATGTGCCTGCCGTGCAAAAATATTGATGAAGCGGTTCTAGAAATATGAGAGACAATGTAGGGTTTGGTTTTTTCCTCTCTTATCATATAGTAGAAGAATAGAGGTGATATGGGTTATGGAAGGATACTTGGCTTATTAAGTTTGTTGTACGTAAATTTTGCTTCTTTTACGGCTTCAATTCCATAGCTTTTGGCTTCCATCTCTGACATACTTTTTCACAAATATCTTCTAGATGTATTATTATGAAACATAAACAGCCTTTTTGAGGCCACTCTAGCAGTCCCTGTGCGAATTCGAATTCTAAATGATCTTTGGTTCATCACATATCTGGTGTCTGACTCTTGTTACCTTTGATGTTCACAGTCTTTGAGATTGATTGGTGATGCATCTTCCTCCTTTGAGAAGAATTGTGTGAGGGGAATTCAAGCCAATAGGGAAAGGATCGCTAAATTGTTACACGAGGTTAGTGAAGGCCTTGATGCATAAATGACAATGTATCTGTTTCTGTGGTCATTAACTATTGACTTATTTTGCTTTTTGCAAACCTTGCAGTCACTCATGCTAGTCACTTCTTTAAATCCTGTAAGCTTCTTTCCTAGCATTGCTTTTACATTGTACTTGTAAATTCACTAACATGTTTGATATTTTTTTTTTTTTTAAAGTTTTTGTTCTCTTTAATAATAACTTGTTGCTTTGTAACAGAAAATTGGGTATGATAATGCTGCTGCAGTAGCCAAGAAAGCCCACAAGGAGGGAAGTACTCTGAAGGTGAGAGTTATAATTCAACTGTGCAATGTGTTGGATTTCTTTGGGTTTCATTCTTTCTAGGAACCTCATGAGAGTATTGTTCCTGGAAGTTTGTTGGGAGTTTAGGTTGTCCACTTACAGAGGCATTTTTATTTTTTTCAATTACTGTTTTATTGAAAAGAAAAACATATGGGTTTGTTTGGATAGAGTATTATTTGGAATAATTATTGGATCACTTTTTGTGATGTGATGTAAGAAAAAATGGTGATTGAGTATAAAAAAAGGTGAGTTGGAAAATGTGTTTATGATGCAAACTAAATATTAAATGAATTTTGTGAATGCGAATTTGACCGAGCTTTGTGTTTCACAGGAAGCTGCCTTAAATCTGGGAGTTCTGACCTCCGAAGAATTTGACACACTTGTAGTGCCAGAGAAGATGATTGGTCCCAGCGACTAAGTTGCCACCGAAACCAAACAACTACTCGGGACTGGGACAGCTAAATTTGTTTTTTCTATTGCAATAATGGATGGGGAAATGCATTGGCTCTGTTTTATCCTATTCTAAGCAGTTCTTTATCAAAATTAATAGGATGCGAAAAGTTGGGAAAGCCTGTATACAATTTTGTAATACAATTTTGTAATAGAAGCAGGGAATAATATCAGATGCAGAGACAACGAAATGCATGTGTGACGGCAGTGTTGCAATTGCGCAAAGTTGTAGTTGTAGTTGTCACTCTGCGAATTCATTCACTTGGCGACTATGGACCTATAATTGAAATTATGGGCAGCTGCTGCTTCTAATTTCTCCACATTTTCTAGTCATTCGACATTGACGTGCTAACCTCATTCTGTTAGCCTGTGGGGAAAAAAAATCTGAATGCATGCATGTATTTGGATAAGAGATTGATTATTTATAATAATTACTATAATATTTTTACGTGAAAAGGTTTAATTAATTTATTTGTATGAAAGATAAAATGGTGATTAAAAAAATAAATTAAAAAACATATTTGTGATGTAAATAAATACTAACATTTTTGATAAACAATTCCTATCCAAATACAAATGAAAAGGGAAGGATGGGTGTCAAGAGCCTGAGTGCCATAAATGCTATTTCATCTTATAATCACTTTTTCTTTATTATGTATTGAAAAGTTATTTTTTATCAAAAAAAAAATTCTACGTTTTTTTTATGAACAGTATTTTTAATTATTTTTTACTTCATATATTACAGTGTATTTTTTTACGAGAATTTCCTAAAATTGCTATCCAACCAGGGTCATAGTTTCTTCTCCAACATGAGAAACAAATGGTGAAAACGTTGGGCGGCTAATACTATCACCTGGCGCGTGGATTCATTGAATTTGGAGACTCTCTCTCTCACTTTTGTCTTCGTGCTTGCAGAAAAGGTTGCGCATGGAAGTTGTGAGTGGAAAAGACGGTCAATCTTGGCACCCTTTTCCTTTTGAATTGGACGAATCCATAAATTTTAGAGGGCAGATTACGTAATTCACTTTCGCTTCCGACCATTCTGGAAAAAAGGTTGAAGGTGATACTTCCATTCTTATCTCCTCCCTCGAAATTCTTTCTGCCATTTAATGCTACTTACTTTGTGTGCCAGTATTCAATATAGGATTAAGCTTTCCGCTCTTATTTCAGTTCGTTTAATGAGAAATTCGGGGAACACTTGAATTTGGGTGGAAATTAGTCCTATAAATTTTCTTGGATATAAATGCCTGCTCTTATTTTAGTTCCTTTTAATGAGAAATTCTGGGAAAACTTGGATTTGGGTGGAAATCAGTTATTTCTTTAAAAAAAAAAATTCATGGCCACTCAAAGTTCTTTCTACTTGCCTGGCTTCTGCTCTGTCCAGCATCGTACTAGAACCGATCTTTTAAGAGTATGGGTCTTCTCTGGAGATATGAAGAGAGTACTCGCAAAAAGATACTAGTCTTCTGTAGCTGTCGTATAATATGGATATGGAATTCAGTATATGGTACTCCTGCATGAGTAGCATTGTCAAACTTCATACCTCATAATTATTTAGTTTATACCCACTTGTGTGGGCTGTAAAGAAATATTTTCGTCATCTCTTTATTTATTTTTTAGCATTTATCAGGTTTTGATGTTCATAGATCTTTTTGGACAAAGCTTTGCAGTATGTGCGATCACTTTTTCCCCCCTGAGTCTATAAATGATCAAGGGCGAAGTCATTATTGTTTGAGAAATGATGCTACAAAGTACAGGAGACAAAAAAAAAAAAAAAAAAAGATAAGGTAAAAAGCCTTTCAGGTTAAAAATGGAAAATAAAAATTATCATTCATACTACTGTGAGTCAAGCACTAGTACTTTATCAAACGCAGTGAAATGTTTTTTGGTATGATGGTATATCCCCTGCTTCTCCCTGATTTTTTGCCAGGTGATGATCTCCTGTGATTGTGTTGAGCCTCAGTGGGCAGCTGAGGAGCAGTTGTTAAATTTTCAGTATATTGCGGACCTTTTTATTGCATTTGCCTATTTCTCCATTCCGGTGGAACTTGTATATTTTGTCCAGAAATCTGCTTTCTTCCCTTACCGATGGGTGCTAATCCAGTTTGGTGCATTTATTATTCTCTGTGGAGCATCCCACTTTATAAGTCTATGGACATTCTCCGTTCACTCTAAAACTGTTGCTGTAGCCGTGGCAATAGCAAAAATGTCCACTGCAGTTGTGTCATGTGCTACTGCACTGATGCTTGTTCATATTATTCCTGACCTGCTAAGTGTGAGGAACCAGGAATTATTTTTGAAGAGTAAGGTTGATGAGCTGGACAGAGAGATGGGCATTGTTATAAAACAGGAGGAATCTGGAAGGCATGTTAGAATGCTAACTCACGAAATCAGGAGTACCCTTGACAGGCAAACCATATTAAGGACCACTCTTGTTGAGTTGGGTAGATGTTTACAATTGGAGGAATGTGCACTGTGGATGCCATCAAGACGAGGTCTCAATCTCCAACTTTCTCATACTCTTAACTCTCTCATACCTGATGGGTCAAGCGTGCCTATTAATCTTCCCGACGTCAGTGAAGTCTTCAATAGCGCTAAAGCAATTCGTCTTCCACATGCCTGCCCTCTGGCCAGGATCAGGCCTGCATTTCGAAGATATAGTGCCCCTGAAGTTGTTGCTGTTCGCATACCTCTTTTAAACATCTTGGATTTCCAAATCCACAACTGGCCTGAACTTTCTTCAAAAAGTTATGCGCTGATGGTATTAATACTACCTATGAACGGTGTAAGAAAATGGCGTAATCATGAGTTAGAACTTATTGAAGTTGTTGCCGACCAGGTGTAGAATAAACTCAAATTTTCCTCATCAAGTGCCTTGCTGAAATTTTGGTATTGCTAACATGTCAATATATGTTCTAAGGGCCATTACATGGTGAAACAGTACAATGTGCACTTCTACAATTTTATAATTTCGAGTTAAACTGATAATAATTAAGTTGACTAAGTTTTTTCTGCTGAACTGTTATGATTTGGTTAGGTTGCTGTTGCTCTTTCACATGCTGCAATTCTTGAAGAATCTATGTGGGCACACCACAAGCTCATAGAGCAAAATGTTGCTTTGAATTCGGCTCGAAAAGAAGCAGAGGCAGCTATCTATGCTCGTAATGATTTCCTGGCTATGATGAATCATGAAATGAGAACACCAATAAATACAGTTCTCTTGTTGTGTTCACTGCTCTTGGAGACTGAACTAACTCTGGATCAAAGGGTTGTAATAGAGATGATACTTAAGGGTTGCAATCTTATAGCAACGCTCATTAGTGATGTTCTGGATCTTTCGAGCCTTGAAAATGGCAGCCTCAAATTGGATGTTAAAGCATTCAATCTTCATGGTGTTTTTCGAGAGGTAGATAAATTTGTCTAGGTTGTTTTTATGTGACTCTGTTTGTCTGTTCCCTTTTTTGATGCAATATTTAGTTAGTGAAGCTTTTGTGTCCTTAAAATGCAGGTTGTAAATTTGATAAAGCCAATTGCATGTGTAAAAAAGTTATCGGTTAGTTTGATTTTGAGTCCAGATTTGCCTCTCTATGCTATTGGGGATGAAAATAAGCTGCTGCAAACAATATTGAATATTGTGGGAAATGCTGTTAAGTTTACAAAGGAGGGTTCTGTTAGAATTTTTGTTTCTGCTCCCAAGCTGAAGTACATTAGAGACTGGGAACTTTCGGAAGCTGCTTTTTGCAATGGCCAATTCTACTACTTACAAGCGCAGGTTGAGAATTCAATTTTCCTTTTGATAGGGGAAATTTCAGTATTCTTAATCAGTTTTATTGCTTGTCTTGTCATTGATGCACATGCCAATTGATCAGTCTGAATTTTGTGAAGGCATTGATGCACATGCCAATTGGTTTATTTGGCTTTGGCTGTCAGCACTCCATGTCTACACTTGATTAAAAATCATCACTGTGAAAAAACAGTTGTAACCTTTTGTTTCTGTGTCAATCCTTTGTCTTCACACATACTGTATGGTTTATTGAAAGGCCATACTTTATGACTAAAAGATGGTTTCTTTTAACCTAGTTAGGGTCTACTTCTTTCATTATACTCTCGTTGAAATGGTATATTTGATCAAAATAGCCATTGTTCATATCATTCACCGTCATGGTTGCTTGGTAAATATAAAACATAACGCTTTCCAAATATTTGCATTGCAGGTTATGGATACTGGGCAGGGTATTGATCCCCAAGAAATTCCTTTAGTCTTTACCAAGTTTGTCAAGCCTTATAGTTCTTCAAGTCAGAGCGGTAGTGGTGCAGGTCTTGGCCTTGCCATTTGCAAACGGTATGCATGTGACTTGTTGATTCCAGTTTGTACAGTCCCCTGCAGGATCAGTCCATTGACGAATACCTGTAATATTTAATTGACAATTTTAGGCTTACAAATCTAATGGGAGGCCACATCCGGATTGAGAGTGAAGGCCTCGGCAAAGGCACCACAGTTACATTCATCGTCAAACTTGGGATCTGTAAACCCAAATGAAGAGGTAACCTTTTGAAATCAGGACTACACAGAGATGCAGCCAAACTTTCCCCCTTGTGCCGACTGTTATAGCAGGGATAATGATCAAAATAAGCTTTTTGGATTAGCTGTTTTTGAAATATTTTACTGTAGTAATATAAGTGAAAAACTTTTACTGTAGATGAGGTTATTTTTGGTGTTTTTAATGTTACTTTTTGTGTTTTTGATATTTTTGAAATTATTTTTTATGTTTTTTATATTTTTGAGGTTATTTTTGTTTGTGTATTATTGTAACAATTGCATATGAAAAACTTGTCTTTTAAAAAATGCCCTATCCAAACTCAGCCAAAGATATTTAAATCCCCTGCACCATTATGAATAAACTTTCAAGATGTGTAATCAGAGCCGCTCAAATGGATTTCTATCGTTGAAGCAAAACCCTGTATGGTAATGACTAACCGAAAAGATTCTCTCCTCATCAGTGGGAAAGAAACTTTTCCAGCCCGGTTGCCATCTTGTTGGCATAATTGGACGACTTCTCACGAGACTATTGTCACGCTAAACTTCTCGGAGAACGCTTCCAGGCAAATAAACCTTTCCGGTAGACTTCCCCCAAAAAATGGCATTGAGCAGTGAGGACCTATGGTTGCCAAGACATCCTGGGGCGGCGATCGAAATCAAAGCCAACCAAACTACTTTGAACCCGGAAAAAAAGAGGCGCAAAGAGAGAGACTTTCCTTGCTTCTACATTTAACTGCGTGATTTACGATTTACAACTAGGCATCAATACGTGCATCGACTTAGCTTGAATGGAAATTATTTTATTTTTACAGCAATATAGCCTATCATCTCTCAAACCCCTCTTTCCCAATGCATCCGCATCCAATTGACATGAAACCAGGTCACTTGAATTTAAGAGCCTTGGTGGAAAAGCTAAACCGAAGTGAGGACGTAAAGAAACCAAGGCACAATTGGTGCATAATATTAAGATTCCAAAAACTCCTTCCATCTAAATCTGGGTAACAGAGTATTTTCAAGAAAGAACAGCAAAACAACAGTACGCAGCCAGTAACACTAAATTGCAACACTATGAAGGACTTAACGATGATACAGCGCAACAAATGCCCCCCTCTTCTCATTCAGTCACTTCTTTGATTTCTTCGATACCCTGAACATTAACAGAGCAATTCAGACAAAAATTTCATTAAAGCAAAAATCAGTAACAATGTATCAGCAACAATGCACTTACTGAGCTGTTTGTGCTGGAGGTGCTGATACTGCTGGCTGAACAGGTCTCTCTCCAGGCCCCTGTTTTATATGCATGCAAAACACCCTTAGAATTTTTACTGATGCATAAAACTTTTGCAGTAATGATAAATCAAACTACACGTGTCCAATTCATTTACATGATACAGGGAAAAACACATGGAAGCACTATTATGTAACATGTACGGTATGTAATCATTTCAAGATGGACCAACAAAGAAATCCACTCCAAACAGTTCCTGAATCTATGGTACTGATAAATCAGGGAGAAACAGCCAAGGGGGAAAACAATTAGGCAATGATCTAACCTGGGCCAAACGTTCCTCCCTCCTAGCAATCTTTCTCTCTCTGCTTGCCTTATTCTTTGCTCGTTTAGCCTCAAACTGATCAGACAAGGTCTTCTCTCTAGCCTTCTCAGCCTTGGACTTGTGGATGCTCTCCATTAGCACACGTTTGTTCTTGAAAACATTACCCTTGACCTTCATGTACATGTCATGATACATGTGCTTGTCAATCTTCTTTGACTCTCTGTACTTTCTAAGCAAGCGCCTAAGCACTCTCATCCTCCTCATCCAAAGAACTTTTGTAGGCAACCTTGCCTCCCTTGTACCCTTGCGCTTACCATATCCAGAGTGGCGGCCCTTTCGCTTGGCCTCTTTCATCCGGCGAGCACGAGACCTTGAATGAATCTTGGTAGGCTTCCTGATGATGAAACCATCCTTGACCAGCTTTCTTATGTTTTGGCCTGTATTTAACCAACCAACAGCAACATAAATCTATCAATTCTGGTGAAGTTGCTCTCAAAATCAACATAAAATAGCAATTACAAAATATGTTACAAAACAAAACCTATCAGAAACCTTGCAGTTAGTTCAGTTTAGTTGAACAATAGATTTTGCATTGTATGAATTTGAAACCCCTAGCCCACCAGGCATGTGCAGGACGAGCGTTCATGTAGCTCCCGTAGGAGGAAAGTAGTTTTTTATTTTTGGCATGCTAAGAAATGTAGTCTAATCCGATCTATTACAAGTCCCTTATTGCAAGTTCAATCTCCATCACAAAACCTAGAAAACTTACACGTAATACTTAATCCTTTTTATGCCATTTTTTGCTATTTAGATGGTTACAATATAGAAACCAAATGCACATTGACGCATGATCATTTCTTTGAAACTTCTATGCCAAATGAAACACCACACTAACCCATAAAACAGCCAATACAGATAGGACACAATTACTTCTAGGTAAGAAACGAGGCACTGGGGAAAATAGTGAACATAGAGGAAGATGGGGCAAAAGGATGTCTCAGGCATGCAAGGAAGGAATAAAAGCAGCATAAGCTATGAGGTAAAAGCTCTTAGGCGGCCACTGCGAATATTTTCAGAAACAAGCCTTCCTAAAGTTAGTCGAGACCAACAACAAAGCCTGATGACAATCCCCCCCCCCCCAAACCCAAAAAAAATCTTTTTTTCACATTTAAGTTAGTCGATGCTTATGACTTACACATCAATCCTTACTCCTATTTGAATAGCATCATTATCCCCTCGCTAATAGTAATACAAGCCAAAAGTTTCCCTAAAGCAATCGATTGATACAATCAATCAATATCAAGACACTGAAACACTAGGAAAGAAAACACTAGAGAGTAGATGATCAGCCAAGGAGAGTGAAACAAACTTACGAGAATTGGCCATGGAGATTTCGTTGACTTCATTGGGGTCCAGCCAGACCTTGCCTCTGCCGCACTTGAGGACGCTGGCGGCGAGCCGCTTCTGAAGCTTCAGCGACACCATCCCTTCGTCTGTCGGTCCGTCTCCTCCTCCTCTTCTGGCACCTGCTCTCTGTGCCAACTAAGCTAATCCTACCAGAAAATGCTGGGTGCGGCGAAAATGAGCTTTCTTATATCACTCGACTGTAGCTGTAGGGTTTCTCTTTGGGGCTTGTTTTTTTTGGGCCGCCTTTGCTTAACCATCCTCTAGGCCCAAGTTTTAGATTTTCGGGTTGCTGAAGGTTGATTGGACAGAAGTTCGTTCTGTACCATGGTGTACTGGTCATTTCTAGCCCAAACGAAGATAGTTCGGACTTCGGTGCTTCGTCCGATTGAGAGAATAGTAATAAAGTGACGGATAGTAATTTTCTTGTTTGGACTGAGGATGGAAAGGAAAGGAAGGAAGAGGTCACAAGTAAATTAGACAGGGAAAAAGAAATTACCCAATATAGCCCTTTCTCTCCTTATACTTTTTTTTTTTTTTGTAACTCGGAACATGCCCCGACCCGATCTCTTAGGACCCGAGCCAGCACACCAAATCGGAAGGAAGCCGATAGCCCCATACAGCTATCCCAGGCGAGTCAGGATGTGCAGTGCAGCGGACACGAATTGAACCCCGATCAGTGGGGAAGCCAGCAAGTTAAAGTCGACCCCTCAACCGCTGCGCCATATGCCCTGGAGGCACCTTATACTTTCCTTTCCAAACATAAAACGGATTTGATCCCTCGTGTTCCTTTTGTTTCCTCCCATTCCCTCAATCAAAATGATGCCTTAAAAAGAAAACAAATCTTCCATAATAAGTACTATTAGTTACTCATAAGGAGTAATAAACCATAACCCGCTCACTTCCAAGTTCCATGGGGAAATGGTAATCCAGTAGTGGGGTCCAATGACAGCGCCAGCGGTCAAAAGTCCAGCTCTGAAAAACTGCTTTGTAGATATGTTGCTAATATAATTAAGGGTTATTATCATTTTATCCGTTTAATGTTTGGTGTCACTGTCAATTTTTCTCTTACCGTATTTTTAATCATTTTACCTCCAAAAGTAATGTTCAAACTTAAAGAGTTTATTAATTCAAGTGATAAGACATGTTTAACTTTTAAAATTATTATCATTTTACCCCCATAAATTATAATCTTATTATCAATTTACCTCATAAAATTATTTTTTAAGCAATATATCCCGCCATTAAACCAACTTAACAAATTCAAAAATTTTAAAAGCTAGTACCCTCTTTTTTGTATAATATAAATAATAAAAAATCTAGAGTGGCTCTTCTTCTTTTAGTATCAAGAAAAACAAAAGTCAAAACATCTTGTTTGGATTGCATTTTCTAGGATTTTTTGTTGAAAAATACTGTAGTGATTTGATGAATGTGAGGAAGAAAGATAATAGGGAAATGTGACCATGGAAAACGACGCAATTTTTCGGCTAAAAATGGCTGTCCAAGTGGAATCTTTCTTCTTGGAATCTTATTAATATTGAAAAAAAAATAGGAGAGGGAGAGAGAGAGTTCAATTCTTTTTTTTTAATACAAACAATAAATAATTCAAATATTTTTATTATTTTAAAATTATTTTAATTTGTTGTTTATTACTCAATTCCAATTATAATCCCAAGGATATTAAAGTAATACGATAATATTAGATTATTCCTTATTTTTTTCTTTGCAAAATCTAATTATTTGTCTCATTCTGTCCTATCTCCTTTTTCTTTTCCAAGCATTAATAAGGGTAATTTTTTTTTTTGAGAAAACCAATTATTTTATGTTTTTGGAATCTTAGAGTGAAAAATGAAGATAATTATTCCAACTTTTTATTTTAAATTATATATAAAAAAAGGTAAACACATTTAAATATTTTTTAACATACTTTTTAGATTAACGATAGGGTGAAATATCTAGAGAGTAAAGCGATTATATCACTATAATTTAAAGAGATAAAGTAATAATAACAATATAGTAATGGTATAAAATAAAAGGAAATTTTTATCAAAAATTTATTAATCAACTGAGTTGAACTATCTATGGGGTGAAGTGACTAAAAAATAACATTATGGGGTAAATTGATAATAGTGATATAGTTTAAAAAAGTAAAGTGATAATAACCTTATAATTAATAGAAAATAACCATCTTTTAGAGCATTAGTTTGTTGTTGTTTTGATGCTAGAGATGCTAAAGGAACCAAGCTGTTTGCAAG